AAGAACATAGGAGGGCCGTGGCCTGGTTCAGCAGGAAGGGCCAGAGGAGGTCTTGTGGCCTTGTCCCTGCAGCAGCCCCCCGCCCCCACCCCCGGCCCCCCGGCCTGGCACTCAGCATTCATTCAGGCTGACTGGTGGGTCTGTGTGAGAGAAGAAATGTGATTTGTGAGAGGAGAAACAGCTCAAACATTCATTTCCGTTTTCGGAACACAAAGTAGGCTTTATATAGACAGGACTTACAAGGATGTCACATCCTTGTAAGTTTAGGAAAAAACCCAGAAACTGACCCTTCCTCACTGACAGCTTGAGAAGCCTGCAGTGTAGAGCCCTGGCCTGGAAGGCTGCCTCCTGCCCCCAGTCTCCACATCCTGGGAGAGCACGTGGGTCCAGTCAAAGCAGGGGCCTTGTTAGCTGGCTGCTAAAAATAATCCACTAATGGGAGCTCTACCAATAGCAAAAAGGAATTAAGGTTTATTTATACTAACAAGCAAATCTAATAAAAGCGATGCTCCTTTGCAGAATCCCTGCAGGTTGGTTAAATTTCTCACTCAATCTGTTATGTTAGTTTTTGGTCAGGAGTGGCCAGAAGGTACTCTGGGACGGCCTTTGGGCACTCTGTGTAGTATGCAGGATAGGATCCAGGATTCTGGAGTCTCAGCAATGCAGCTCTCAGAGTGCTATAGAGAACAAGCTGGGTGAGAAAGCAAAGCCCTTGGAGAAACTACTGCGTACCCTTCACCTGCCCAGTGTATACGTGCGGCACATTCAATCCTCGACCCAGCCCTGGGAGTATTACCCACACTTTACATAGAGATTATTTTATACATTAACAGATTAATAAATGAAAGCCTAGAGGTTAAACAATTTATACAGGGTCATAATAACTAGGATTTTTAATTCTCATCTGGCTGACTCCAGAGTCTGGATTCTTCCTAGTAACGCCTTCTTGAAAAGGAGAGTCCAAGCCAGGAATGATCATTCTGAGTGCCAACATGTAGTGTGCTCACCGTGTTCCCACAACCTCCCATGCCCCTGGCCCCTGGCTCCCTCCAGCCTGCCATCGCCTAAGGGGCCCTGAGTTGTCTGTCCCCCTTTATCCACCGCGGTGGTCTTTCTGTGCTCAGACATCCTTGGGCCCTTGTGCTTGGTGTGCTAGCTTCCTGGAATGTCTTCCCCAGATGTCCCTGGGCTGGCCCTTGCTGGTCATTTCAGCTGCTCGGCCTTCCCCAAAGGCTGTGTGTGCTGGGCCTCCCCTCCTGTGCCCAGTCCTCTCTGTCACAGTCAGGGGCTGACTGAGGACGGCTGGACCTTGAGCACAGGAAGGACGGAGGGTCAGCTCATAGGCCTGGCGGTCCACCTTACGGTAGCCGCGGGCAGATTTTAAGTCCCGAGAGCGACGGCATCAGATTTTAGAAATATCACTGTGGCTGTGGCAGCAAACAGCGATGCTGACATTTATGTCACTCCGGTCTCCTTGCTTTTGTTCCTCTGCCTGCAACTCCCGCTGGAAGCAGGCCCCTGTCTTGACTATGCGCTTGCCCTCAGCCCTACCACCGACAATGCCTGCCTTGTGAACACTCAAATCAGAGACGGGGTAGGGATTATCCAACCCCCTGTGACACGGGTACTGATTTGATCTAAAAGCCCACAATGAAATAAATAAGTCATTCTCACTTATGGACAGCACGACTAAATTCTAATGGGAAACGACATACGCCATGACTAAAAGAATGATCAATTATGCCTTAAGTAGGGACTTGACTCTGGAATGCGGGGCTGGCCCAAACCCAAGCAAAACGTCCCACATTACTCATCATGTCAATGTCCCCACAAGTTTTTCTTAAAAAAATGTCTGTAAAATACAGAGCCAATATTATACCTAATGGAAAAACCATTACAGACAACATCTTTAAAAATAAAAGCAGGCAAGGACCTATGTAATATGAAAGTTGGCAAGAGATGCTTCAGAAGAGAATACAAAGTATGTAACAAACATTGAAAATGAAGAAAAAATCTTTTTAAAAAGTCACATGTGTGTCAGTTATGCCTCAAAATGGGGGAAAAAGCAACAGAAAATCCAAGGCAATCAGAGTTCATGTGATAGATACTGGAAAATACAAGAGAAAGGTCTAAAAACCAACGGCACACACACACACAGAAAACGCACAACCACCAAGCTCAATGGAAACCTCACCGTTAGATCAGTGGCAGGAAGCTCTAAGTGGATGGGCAGGAATTTAGCAAGGGAAGCAAGACACACACTTAAAAAAATCATAAAAGCTGCACAGGAGCAGTAAAGGACACCGGGAACAAATCCTGGGAAGGTCCTGAGCTGCGGAGACATGCTCACTGAGGACGCCACAGTGCTCAGGCCGTCCTGCAGGTGAGGTGTGGTGCAGACTGGAGTCCTGGGAGGCATTCTATACAGCTTCACTAATGGCCTTTGAACATAATCTGGAAGCTATGTGGAGTCTTGGAAACATCCTGTGTATGGGGTGTGGGGTCCACGGACTTACATATTTATCAAACTCACCCAACCGTACGCGCTAGGGCCTGTTCCGTCCACTGCACGTAAACAATCTCAACGACAAGAAAAAGCCCAACAGCGAACCAGCCGGGTCCCGAACCCACTCGGAAGTCGGAGTCGGCGTTGAATTCATTAGCCACGTCCCACTACTACGGTCCATCTAGCGTGGGTGGGGAGTCTGAGAACAGTCTTCTGACCCACGTCATTAGTCATGCTCATCCTCTCTGCCTGGTGGCATTCCCTGAACTCGTTCGCCTTGCAGAGTCCAATGGATCCTTCAGCCTTGGCTCAACGTATCTGGCCTCTGGCACCGTCCCTGACTCCTGCAGGCACCTGCGGGCTCCTCGTGTGCCCTTGCTGCCCTCGGGGCACCGTCAGTCGTACGCAAGACAGTGGTATTTAGACACAGGAGCTCTAGGTCGAAGAATCTGTGACACTGACTTTTTAAATCCCACTTCAATGCAGGAACATAGGTGGGCTGTCTGGTCGAACGTCTAAGAGGGCCTAGGGAACAGCCGTCCTCGAAGCCCACTCCCGACCCGAATGGACCTGCTCAGCTGGCTTTCATAAACAAGCACCACTGTCCGCAGCTCGCCTTACATCGAGTACGCTTCGATTTAAGTAATTTAGATTTTTGATCGTTTGAAACTTCTGTTCAAAAGTGAATCCCTCATGGTGCCCATCCACGCTTCATACACCTTGCTGTAAGTATCTGTAGAGAAGACGCAGAAGTACCCCCAGCAGGATGATGCCTCACACCAGGCGGGCGCTGAGCAGCACGGTACGGCAGCCAGGACTGACCCTGCGGCAGGACTCCGGGCCGCATCCGGCTCTGGCGCACGCGAGCTGGGCGACCGCGGGAAATCTCCTGTGCCGTAAAATGAGGCTGATACAGGGACAGACGCACACTCCTTTATCCTCGTTTCCAAAATTTAAAAAGCACCGATGATTGGAAATTTAGCTTAATTTTTATTTTCTTTTGCATTTGAAGCAAGCTAATTTCATGGCAAAACCTGGCCTGAACTCACGTGAAGTCTGTATTTATACCTGTTCATGTGAACATTCGTGTTTTGATGCATGAATATCGGTGCTCTTATCTCTGGGATGCTACTGGAACATGACCTCATCCGTGGCATGTGCACCACACTACACTGATTTTCTGAAGTAAAAAAATACTGAATTCTGAAGCGCATAAAACCTTCAAGACTTAGAGGTAAAGGATTATGGACCCGCCTCTTCCTTGTGGGGTGGCTGAGCGGACGGACTGTCTTCACGTATGAGAAATATGTCAGACGGCGACCGGCACGTGGCAGATGTCACCTGGGATCTGAGGCGTTCAGCTGTGAGCAGGGCGTGTGCCGAGGAAGCGTGCACCAGTCCTGACTGGCAGGACCGAGTGTGGAGCGCGTGTGACGTCTGCAGGCCTCCCAGTGTGCCCCACACTCCCGTGTGCACCAAGACGGCAGGCTGGCTGAGGGCAGCCCAGCACGCTCCGCGCGGAGGGCACTGGCCTCTCCAGCAGTGAAAACGTGCATCGCCGAGCTGAGTGTTTAATTCCAACCACAATTTTAAAAAAGTGACAGCCACATATAAAGGATGAAATCAGAGTCGCATGTTGATGAACCGTGCAGGCTGAAACCACTGTTGCCTAATACCATTCATTGCTGGTTCCAGTGTTTCTGCGCCTGGAAGACTGTAAGTGATTTGAAAACCGTCCCCTACCCTCGCGGGTGTCTGGTCTCTCAGCACACAGCTTGACACAGATGTGGCTTCGGGGAATGTTGACTGAATCGAAGCATGAGGGACTGGCTCTGGACTACCCAGGGGGAGGTACCGACCTATGAATTTGTGGAAATACTAGGAGTCCTGGCTCTGTTCAGCCATCCTTTTCAGGCTATTCCAGGAAGACTGAACTAGCCATGTGGGCTAACGGGGGAGTGGGTTCTGAGGCTGAGGGCACAGAAGTGCTTGGCAGTGGGGCCAGGAGTCCAAAAGGCCCTCGTGTCAACAGACACACAGAGACCGCTCTGCCTCACCACTTCCTCTGTCGCAGGCGATCTAAGGGGGCTGTGGACGCGGGCCGTCCAGAGATGTGTGGGAGGAGGCACCTGTCAGACCAGAGGAGGAGGAATGCCGTGAAGGCAGGCCCTGGGTTCTCGACTGTCTGGTTATACGTGCTGCAGGAGCAAAATGCAAAGTCTTACATGCAAGCGGACACTACAGGGGTAGCTGCTTCTGTGAAAACCACAGAGATGCTCACACCTCCGAGCCTGTAATGCCGCTACTAAAATCTTAGAAATCTGGCCAGAAAAAATCCACGAGAAGCAAATAACGCACGACTGCAAGTGTTAGGGACCAGATGTAAAAGGATCTCATTCTGAAAAAGACAAACTTTTCCAGTCATCTATAATAGAGTAGACTCTGGCAGAGCTTCACAAGTGGAAGAAATCCGAATTACTAGAAACATAATTACCAGGAATCTCTCCTCTTTTTCTAGCCAGCGCTGATCTTCTTCCATCTCCTGCTGCTGCCGGATCAGCCGCTCTTCCATCAGGTGGGTCGGCAACACCTGCCCGATCCCACGCAGGTCCAGCGCAGCGGAGTCCTAGCAGGGGAGTAATAAAACAGCACATCCACTCTCAGGAGCCTATTTAGGATGCTCTTACTATTTTCTGTGTTTTTCCAAAAAAAAAAAAGAAGCAGCAGCAAAATAGCAAGGGTGGTGGAAATAGGGTCTCTTAGACTCTGCTCATGGGAGCAGCTTTCCTGAAGGTTGCAAGTTACCACCTGCCAAGAATCTTTAACAAGTACACAGTCATTCAGCTCACAGCTCCACTTGTGGGGCTTTATTCTCAAGAAATAACCCAGGAAACCTGGGTGGCTCAGTTGGTTAAACGTCTGACTTTGGATTGGGTTGTGATCTCGGGGTCCTGGGATCCAGCCCTGCATCAGGCTCCCTGCTAGGTAGGGATTCTGCTTGTCTCTCTCCCGCTGCCCCTCCCCCAACTCGTGCGTTCTCTCTCTCCCAAATGAATGGATAAAAATCTGAAAGAAGAAAAGAAAGAAAAGAAAGAAAAGAAAGAAAGAAAGAAAGAAAGAAAGAAAGAATCCAAGGTATGTGCAGAGAATGCATCGCTGGTTGCAGTGAAGAAGTGAAAACAATCTGGAGGTAGAGTGGAAGGAGGATTAAGCTCAGTCCACGCGTGCTGTGGAGCACTAAGCAATTGTTAAACATGCTCACCCCAAGGGCAAGGGCACGAGCAGCAGACTATGGGTGTTCTGGGAGTCAGAGAAACATTGACTGTTACCGGAGGGGTTCTTGGTGTACCAGGCAAATCTGGCTAACGTGGCCCACGGAGCAGGAGGCTGTCTCCTGCTCCTTCCTGGGATATGCCTCCCACACACGCTGATTATGCTCAGCCTGACGCACTGCCCTTCAGGCGAGTGGGCTAATGATGGTGGCGTCTCTTTCTTTTAGTAAAAAGGATTCACAGAACCGGGGAGAATTTGAGATGCAATGCCTTGATTTTAGAATTAGGGCATCAAAATCAGTAACTCTTAGGATTCAGAAATAAAGGTACTCTAGGCAAAGCTTTATCAGCTAACAAACAAAAGCCCAGGAACATCCAGGTTACCTCCACGTTGGGCTGCCACATTGATATCTCCTGCGGTCTATGATTCCAGGAATCCGTCTGGTCCAAAAGAGTTGCCTGACCCGGGTAGATGCTGCCAGCCATGGCCGTGATCCCATGTGAACCAGGATAGCCAGAGACCTGTGAATGCGGGGCAGCAGGGTCATGTTCCGGCACAGCATGCTTTCGCACAGTTCTGCTTTCCACATGCAAAGAAGCAACTAAGACGACCGAGAACACTGTGCAAACAGAACAGTGGTGCCCACAGACATCCACGTGTGGATCCCCAGAGCCTGCAGGGTCCCTTAAGATGGGAAGATGACCCTGGATCATCCGAGTGGACCTAATGTAAAAGCAGGTTCCTTATACCAGTGGAAGGGGGGAGCAGAAGGGGAGAAATGACTACTGAAGAGTGGGCAGAGAGATACAGCACCGCTGGTTTTGAAGAGGGCGAAGGGTCATGGCCAAGGGATGCAGGTGGCTCTGGAAGGTGGTAAAGGCAAGGAAATGGATTCTCAACTAAAGCCTCAAGAAAGGTAATCCATGGAGGCCACGTAAATAAGTAATGCAAATATACACCAGGAAATCAGAAATTATTTACTTTACAACTCTGCACCCTTGATGCAAAAGCACCAGGGGCCATGAATGTGGCTCAGTGGGCACCTCTCTAGAGCACCTCCTGTCTAACAAACTGGGGCTGATGATGAGAGACACAGGCATCGTGTTCCGACCGCGGTGACTATGGCAGAGAAAAGACATTCAGGTGCACACAGAGAAAAATTCCAGGGCAGAAGGAAAATGAGGAAAATGAGAGGAGTTTCTTTATACGGCTTCCTCCCTCAATCGAGAGAGAGAGAGAGAGAGGCCAGAATTAGCCGTGTTTCTGTAACCCACTGGGCTAGTACTGGAGGGGCAGGTTGTTCAGTTAATTTTTTAATGAGATAAAGCACAGCTAAATCCAGTATTTCCAAACATCAACACATTCTTCAACAAAGACTCTGCATTTGTTAGGTCTCTAGGCATTGATTTATACCAAAATTGCATACTGACAATATGTAACTAATAAACTTTCAAATAATATGCACAGATGGTTCTCACAGTTTACTAGAATCAAAGTATTTCAATAAAAAATTCTGCTAAACATAAAATGTCACATCACTACTATTTTTGGTCAGAAGGGATACATTACTGCCAAACAACTTTTAGGAATTTGCACAACAAAGAGATTTCAAATATTCTGTGGCAGTTTTCTACATAACACCAACCGTGTGACAGGATCAATGAGCATTTTTGGCTAAGAAGGAACATGAAATAACACCAGGCAATGTCCTATAGCCGTTCTCATTTACAAGATAAGGAAACTTGGGGCCCAGGAGAGCTTAATCGTTCCTTTGCTTGATGAAAATATGAATGCTTTAATGTATCCACTGAATCCTTACTCTGTTCTACACAACGTTCCAGGCACTTAAAGTAGAGACAAGCCACTGTCCTCACAGGCTTCCCCTTGGGGGGGGGGGGTGACAGCCACACATGAACACGCACCAGACCCCAGGTGGTGGAAGTGACATAGGCCAGTGTGCCCTGGGTGTGGGGCGAGGGCCTGCGGAGGCCTGCATTCTGTCTTATTAGCAGATGCTGTTGCGCCTTCTCTAAACAAGTCTGGAGGGCCCAGGGATTCACGCCTCCTCCAGGCAAGTGGGTGTCTCAGAATAGTGTCTCCCAAAACAGGGCTCTCAGTCATGCAGCATCACCTTGGGGCGCTTGTTAACAACGTGATACTCCTGGGTCCCCCTTCAGAATTAGTACAGTGGGATCTGGAGACAGCAAAGCAGGTGAAGAGCCTGGCACGGACCCAATTTCAGTGTCTCGATGTACTACCATCCTTTCTAGTACGGGACGGCCTGCGCTCTTTCCCTGGGACTCTATGCCAACAGTGAAGAGTGTTTGTCCATACTAATCCAAGAGGCCTGGATTTAAATCACAGTTGAGAGGCATGTAAAGGAATAAAAATGCTTTCATTTGACCCTCAGCAACCCCGTGAAGGACGCCGGTAAGCGTGCTTCTCTTTTTGCTCCTGAGAAGTGTGTCGAAGGGGATGGCAGTTAAAGGAACTTTCAGCTTCTCCCTCTCCGGACAAAGGAGATGCCTCCGTACCTGGTAATGATTGGTTTGTACCATGTGCTGTGGGCTGGGATAAAATCCTTCACTGGACCTTGGACTCGGGTAACCGGGTCTGCTGGGCTGTGAACACATCAACAGAGCATCATAGGAATGAGTGTTTTGAAAATTTTGTTAAATCTATGTTTTACTGAAAATAACAGAAAAAGGCATTTCTCTAAAAGACTTTAGTTGGAAAGAATGATAAAGAGCATCCAGACACTTCAGTGGGGAAAACAGTCTTTCCCACAAACATCCGGGACAGCAGGGTATCCCCATGTGAAAACACGAAGCCGGACCCCTTCCCCACAATACACACACAGATTAACTCAAAATGGATCACGGATCTAAATGTGAGAGGTAAAACTATAAAACTCTTAGAGAACGGGCCAGTCTTTGTAACCCTGGGTAGGCAAAGGTTTTGTAGACAGGACACCAAAAGCTCAATCAAGAAGAGAGAACAAAAAAGATAAATTGCACATCATCCAAATTAAAAGCTTCTGTGTTGCAAATGGCACCACCAAGAAGAGACACCCACGGAGCGGAAGAAGACATTTGCATTTCAGGTATGTATGAGAGACTCATATCCAGAGATATACAAAGAACTCCTGGAGCTCAACAATAAAATGATAAATAATCTGAATAAACGGTGGGCAAAGGACTTGAGCGGACCCGAGGGAGATCTATCAGGGGCCAACAAGATGCGTGACACCTTCCGGCACCAAGGAAATGCGAATCGGGAGGCTTTCGGAGCAGGGAGTTCATTTGGCTCTGTGGCCTCCTGGCCGTGTGACCGGGCAAGTGGGGAGCCGAATGGCGTCTGCGTCTATCAGACAGGAGCTGAGCTACACAGACTGGGAAGTCACTCCCAGTCTAAAATTCTCAATCTGTTTGCGACCTACATGAATTTAAAGTTCATAGCAAAAGAATGGTTTAGTCTGAAATAGAAGTCCACAAAATTTTCTAAATCTGACAGATTTAACAGAGCAGAAACCCACTGTTCTCCAGCCAAATGAAGTCCAGAATAAAAGGAGATGATTTAGGTGCCAGCAAGTCCAGGGGAGGAAAGAAACACCTCAAGAGCCCCTGTCTCTTCCCATGGACGCACATGGTCCTGGAGGAACACACGCTTTGCTCGAATTAAGTTCTGAGGAAGTCTGGGTGTCCAGGAGGAGCCTCGCTAACCCCCGCTCTGCTCACACTGTCTCCGCTGCCCGTCCTTTGAGTCTTCTTTGGAGAGTGCCTGAAATCTCTTGTTTTCTCCCACCCGATGTGACACCCCAGTCCTCTGCTCTCCTCTGTGATGCATTTCCAATGCTCTAGCCCTACCACCGCAGGCCTTCTCCACCTCCGAGGCTGGAAAATGTGCCCTCATCCCTTTAGCCGACACTTCAGTGGCCCAGATGCGGTTCGCCCCAAACTTACCCAAATATGAGGATGGATCCCCAAGACCCCTGGAAACAGGAAAGGGACATCAAAGGGGTGTCATAGGCTTTACCCTGTGTTCTAGGGTGGCAATTTCCAAAGTACGTTCCATGAAGCCCAAGGGACTACCCTTCAGATTTATATTTTTTAAAGGTTTCATTTGAACAAGTGGTTAAGAGAGGTAAAGAAAAACAACAAACAACAAAGTTCGACTATTTCTGTTGTAGGACACTGGAGAGGCAGCACTCGTTGTATAGCTATGTGTTAACATGTAAGCGTGGCGTGGTGCTCTGGGAAAGGCCTCCCGAGTCCAAGCATGGAAGGGGGCAGCACCAAGGATTCGGACAGTAAGCACACCGACAGCTGTACAGCTGTGTCCCCTGGCTTAGATTCTGGAGGTGGCATGTAAGTAACACCCGCACAAAGAAACTTTTACTCAGTATGGCCTATGCGCACAGAGCTAGGTGCTTCCCACACAACGTGACAAGCTGAACAGCATGCCACCCAGCAATATTATCACTCTGCTCTGCAGAGGATGAAACTGAGGCTTGGAGAGCTCAGGCAATGTGAACAGGCTGCACAGTCCATACTGGTGGAACTGCTCGCTCCGAAATCTGCTACGTGGGGATGCTGCTCGATGACCAGCGCACTTGGACTTGACAAATAAAAAGAAACAAAAGGAACTGACCAGAGACTGGCAAAATCTCCATACAACATCCCCGAGGGACTCTGACTTCAGTGGGCAGCAAAAGAGCACGTGCAAGGTTCCATTTCAAAATAAAACAGGAAGATGAAGACCAGCTTTAGGGCAGACAAAACTATCGCACCAAGAGTAGCACAAAATCAGATTCTGCTAACAGTGGCTGTGGAGAGTGCACACGTACCGTCGAAGAGCTGTGCTGTGTTCTCTACAAACAGGGAGCCGGCTTGGCAGGCGGGGGCAGGCTTGGGACCCGAGGGCCAGGGCATGTGGTCAGGGCCGCTCACCTCTCTGTGCCTCCGCATTCTCAACGGGGAAATGGGGACAGGGCTCTCGTGAAGATGGAACAACACGTCAGGTTCTCTGCAGATGGCCTCCGCGCACGTGACCCAAAGTGTCACTTTCTACTAAGTGTTATGATTCAGCAGGGACACTCCCTCCTTCTCAAAGACACAAACTTGGGTTGTACTATTTTTTAATAAAGCAAATGATGGAGCTGAGGGAGTGTTTGCTGAAGTCCTGCCGAGTGAGGAGGAAGAGAAAGGAAAAACGGACCCACCCTAACCGGTGGTTCTGAGTCAGGTGGCGGTGCTCCTGCCAGGGGTTGGGAGTAACTGAGAGGGCGCAGCTGCTGAGCACGGCCACCGGCATCCAGGGTCAGACGACGGGGCCCGCTCTCCTCTCAGACGCCCCGCTCGAATTTACGGAGGTAGAACAACAACAAAGCCTGCAACCCGAACCCAAGTAACACTTGGCATAGTTTCTCAGACACTGAACCTCCTGGAATAGCAACTCCTGTGTCTACTGACGGACAATGTTACTTTGTTTGCACTTTACCAAGATTTTTCGCCATTCTAGAAAATCACATCACACGACCAGTGAAATCCACGCTCCGCCGTGGCCGTGGGCCGTGCATTTGTAGCTGTGTCCCTACGGCGTGCCCACACACAGGCACAGCACCTGGCCACCTCACCACTCCTGTGGGTGCGATCCCAGCCGAGCGTCTCCCGTAGGCGTGTGCCCGCGTTTTAGCTTTCTCGTGCAGTTAGTAGTCGAAGAACTGGCATTCTGAAGTTAGGAAGTCATTTTACTGCCTGTGTATTCTACCTGAGGGCTAGCGCGGGATATCACAAAACACTCCTTACAGAAGTGGAGTGCTGGGTCCTGTTGGGGCTGAGAAACGCTTCTGAGGCAGCCACTCTGAAACGCTTTATTTTTAGGACCCCTTTATATTTTCAAAAATTACTGAGGACTCCAAGGGTTTTAGCTGGAATATTATCTACCAATATTCACATTATTAAAATTAAAACACTTAAAAATAACGAATTAATTATATGTTTTAAAAAAATACCTATTAAAAAAAAATCAGTGAGCAGAGTGGCACCCATCACATGCGTGTATGCACTTCCCGTGACGTCAGGCCTAGCAGGAGGCCACCCGTTCTCCCACGGGCTTCCGCTCTGTCACGCTGTGGCGCATGGAGAAAATCCAGCCTCACACGGCTGTACAGCTGGGAAGGCAGGAGTCTAACAGTTTCTCGGCACAGATGTGGGCATTGTTTCTGATATTATACCCCAACTCAGGAAGTGGTGGTTTCTTGACCTGCAGTGTGGAATCTGAAACAGTGTCATTATCTATGAAATTAAGATCCGTGACTCCATCTTGTACTGTGAATGGATCTTCTACCTACGTGTGATTCTGTGATGTCCTGCAGCGATCATGTGGAGAATGCGAGTCGCTGCGGTACGTGGACCTTCACAACGCCGACTCCTTTCAGTAGACATATGGAAAAATCACGTTTGTTAATGTCACTCTGAGCTCATCAGGAAAGTCTCAGAGTTGGGACGCTGTCAAGGTCACGGTGATGGATGTTTTTCAAAATTCTAATTTTTGCTTGAAAACTAAAATTTTATCATCGGCAACAAGCTATCAGTTGTTCTCCTTGATGACACAGTCTCACTTCTTTCTTTTTTGAGAAATGTCTACCAAATGCCCAACTCCGAACAACCACAGTGTCCGCCCACTCTACTTTCGAGAAAAACTGGTTTTCCATGAGAAAAGTGGTTAGTTCCACAACTCAGCTGCACAGCGTCTTCCCTGTGCTTGCTGTTTCCTCCCACAGAAGGCCTGTGACCGCTTTATCAAGGTCATTCTTCAGCACCCTGGCGTCTCTTTCTTGCGTGAGCACGGTGGCGAACAGAGTGATGACCAGCACGGTATGGCACCATTGCCCGGGCGTGTGCCAAGGTGACCGCGGCTTCGTTCACTGTTATGTCTGCAAGAGGACCTCAAATGCCAGCAGAAAGGATGAGGCCAACGACACGTGGACATTATTATGAAACGGGTTTTGCTCTCACGGCCCTCTCAAATGGTCTTGGGGACCCAGAGGTCCAAGAAATATATTTTCAAAACTGCCAAAAAGGATATTTTTAGCCAGAGGCTCTCCACTGATCCAATGGGGATGTGCAGGACAACTTGCAGCAATGAAATGAACCCAGGCTGCACTCCTCTGAAGATTATTATTGTGTGAAAAAATTGGTATTAAGTACCGATGAAGAAATTGGTAACATGTTTTTAATAATTAGCTTTGCAGTCATAATGCTTTTGCCATTAAGTCTTATAACTAAGATTTTAAAAATTTTTAAAGATTTTATTTATTTATTTGAGAAACAGAGAGAGAGCGCGCACAAGCAGGGGCAGTGGCAGAGGGAGAAGCAGGCTCCCTGCTGGGCAGGGAGCTCCGTGTGGGGCTCGAGCCCAAGACCTGGGATCATGAGCTGAGCCGAAGGCAGACTAAACTTTCAATTTTGAATCTTGAATGTGGGAGAGAAAAATATTTCACTTTAAAAAACTAACTAGGCTGCATTACAAATTTTATTAGTACATAACATTCATCTATAAAAGCCAAAATCCTACATGAACTGAAGAAAATGAAGTGGAGTTTGCTGTCCAAAGACAGCACAGTACTATAAAGACTGACGAGGCTCCAGAGTTCCCACTTCACAGGGTGGAGGAAACTGCAGGACGCAACGCTGGGCTAGCATCCTGGAGACCAGGGACTTACTTGCAGCTGGGCCAAATACAGTGCCCATATGAGCAGAGTCTGATTCTACCATAGAGAAGGGAAAAAACTGCATCCAGACCTGGTTCTGACTGGCAAAGGAGCCAAATAATTAGTGTATTTGTTTATGTTCAACAAGCATCTGTATATTTACACTAGTGCAGATGATTTTCTAGCCATGCAAACTTAATCCACGGGTTGTCAACCTTCTCCTCCAAGTGTCAAAGAGTGAATATTTCAATCTGTGCAGCCACGCTCTGACTGACCCTGCCGCAGCCTGAAACCAGCCAGGGACAAGACACAAACGAAGCATGCAATTCATTCCGATAAAACTCTAATCACAAAAGCAGGCAATGGGCTAGAGTCTGCTGACCCACTGTAAAGGGCAGAACGATCTCCAATTATAGAGAAGAGTCTCAAAACAGGCACTTTGAAAAAAGTCCCAAAACCAGAAAAAAAATGTCTTTGTATTCTAAAACAAAAAGCCTAACCTCATACTACAGCGTCTAAAATTTAGCCAAATGAAAATGATTACACATCCTACAGACTGAGATATAGGAGAACGCCGAGATGGACAAAGTTCTTTAATTCTGTGGGCTTTGGGGGATGCTGCAAGGTGTGGTGCTCACCACCAAGTGCGTACAGCACCTGACGCCTCCCTGACTCCCTCAAGGGCCGCAGACGCAGGACCTCCCGCGGCCTTCACCACACCCCCGGGGGGTAGGGATGTTAACACGCTTGTTGCACAGCGAGGAGAGTGAGGCTGGCAACAGGCAGGGGGACTGCCCAGTCATCAGAGCCCCTCTGAAGAGATCCACTCGGCCCCTAGGCCCGAGGTCTAGCTTCGAGACTCTCCCGCCTCCCAGGCCCGGACCACTGTCCGTTGCTCCTGAGTTAAGAAACAGGCAAACATGTATATACAAAGGGGAGGGCTGGACATGTTGGGATGAGGGGCTCTCAGTTCTCTCTGTTTTTCTGTGGGTAACTAAGGGTTTATTGGTTGTTGTTAAACCAGGAGACGCAGAAGCATACTGGTTTTGTCACTAACTCAAAGGAACACCAGTTGACAGATGGTGTGGCCTGCCTCCTCTGGGCCTCAGTTTTTCTACTTGTTCAGGAGGCTGGACTAGGGAACCCTTCACCTCTAAAATTCTGAAGAATTGTGTTAGTCACCTGTAGTCACCTTAAATGTGTGATAATGTTTACCGTTACACAGTTGACAATACCAACCAAGAAAATACAAGCTTTCAGGCATCATAAAAAAATAGGTACAATATTTAAATAGTACTTTGTGCTAATGGGCCTCTGAACATTTTTCAAAAAGAAAATGAAGAATTGTCAGCTTAATATATTTTTAGCTCATTAATTAGTAGGTAAAGCCTATTATCTATTTACATTCCAGAAAATGTTCTAAACTGGATTATTCATGGCAAGTAAGCCACTGTGTAAAAATACCATTCTGTCAAAAGCAAAAGGTGTATAAAGAATTCTTAATCTCATGGGAGTGTTTAAGGGCCAACTATGTCCAAAACCTCAGCCACAGTGTGGCTGAGCAACAGGGGAAGGCTTTGGCCACCTCCCAGAGGTTGAGGACTTGGAGACGGTGGACAGGCAAGGCCTGGGGCTGTTGCCCGCAGATCTTAACACGCGAATGCAATGTGCCTCCAGTCCCCATATCTAGAAGCCAGCCATGAACAGCAGGCAGGGAATGCACAAGGCTCTCACCCAAACCCTACCCGAAAGGAACGGGGTTAGGTGCAATTTGACTCAATTTAAAATAGAGCAAAATGTAAAGCATTCAGGTGGCTGGTTTTAGTCCATCTGAGCTTTTCATCCTGACTCGATCCTTAGCAAGGTTCCTGACAAGCAACAAAGGGAAACCCTCCTCCACACCTAGTGTGGTCACTGAAGTCTGAGGATGGGGGGTGGGGAGCCAAGGGAGAGGCTTTTAAGACCACATCTAATCTAACGGCTTGAGCCTGACACCGGCCTACAGCTGAAATGCAAATTAGGAAGGAAGTGCACGTGAGGGTAACATGCAGGGCAAACGAGCCGGAGCAGTGGGGCTGTAAGGACTATTCCTAGAACCACCTGATGCTTGGCTATTTCCCCACACACAGCAGCTGCCCATACCATCCACCTCGAAAGTTAGCAGGAGTAATGCCAAAGTGGGGGTAGGGGCCTTTGCTACCTTGGGTGGCGCTTCGTCGGACCCTCCGGAGTCCCAGGACACTGTGACCTGTCTTCTGGACTCCATCCTCATCCGTTCTTCTTGCTGAACCTTCTCCTCCTCCAGGATTGTGCTAGAGAGACAATACATGGTTTAAGGGGAGCTGACAGCCAGAGTGAGCGAGCACACACCAGACCCCACCCGGGCTTATCTGAGGAGCACCAGCTGGCTAGCTAGAGGAAAACAATAAGGGAAGGGAGATCGGATCAGGTTTCTTAACTCTGCACAGGATGACTCTAGAATAGCCTCGGTCCCAACGGCAAGTCGGTTTTCAGCACAGCCATAGGTAAGAAAAGGACAGCTGGGAAGACAAGGAGAGCTTGCGGAAAATCAAAGATGAGCCAGGGGCAGGGGGTGGCGGGGAAGATGTTTGTACACCAAGTTTACTTTGAGCAGAATAGAACTGCCCTGAGAAATCCCAAGCAAGGCTTCGTCAAGCACGGCCAAGTGCCGGGACAGGCTCCTCACACGCACACAGAGCCCCACGTCCTATGAGCACAGCTGCACGCAGGGTGACAAATTCGCAATCTGGCCAATAATCTCCCTACCCCGCTCACTACCGTCTCCCGAACTTTCAGCCTGGCCAGTGCTTTATCTCACCCGGAAAATGAGGACACGGGCAGCCGGCCGCCGCTCCTCACCGCGGCCCGGCAGAGGCTACCTGCCGCCCCGCCCGGCCCACGGCCGCCGCTCCTCGGGCACTGCTGGGCGCCTCCTTAGCCTTGGCCGCCTGCCATGCCGCCAACCACCCTGCACGCAGACGGAGCGGGCCCCCGCCAGCTCCCCTGGCCGCAGGACCCCGGGGGGCTCGGCGGGTGCCAGGTCCCCGTGCCCCTGGGCCTCACCGCGGCCGCGGCTCTGTCCTGCACGCCGCCAGCCCCCGCTCTGCCTCTGAGAATGACGCTCATTCACGGTTTCGAGCCTCCGGGTGGAGCGCCGTCAATAACCAGCCAGAATTACTCATGAAAGAGTGAGGTCAGCTGCAGCAGACCCTTTCTAATCTGGGAATTTGCTCAACTGTTTCAGAAAGACATTCCTGCCTGCCTGGGGCTGGAGCGGGTGGTTTCTCACACAAGCTAACTCCTGCAATCACCTTTAAGTCAGGGAACGACGGACAAATCCACTTCATGATTGCTCTGAGTCAGCAAACCCTGACTACAGATGCAAGGGTAGTTCTTTTTTTTCTTTTAAAGGCACAGCTATGTTTTCCTCCGGGATGACTTTAGCGCTTTAAGAGGAAAGCTTTCAGCCAAAAGATTCTACTCCCTCCTGAAAGTATGATTTTGGTTTTCTTCCTGCTCCAGCTGGACGATCCCAGCTTAGAAAGGAATACGGCACCTTGACAAGCTCCAGACAAAGCAAGAATCAGAGTCACACTCCAGACTGGCCAGGGGCGCGCCGAGCCAGCGCTGCTGGGGACCGAGCCCTGGGGCCGGGGATGGGGACTCCAGCCACAGTGCACCGTCGGCTTGCCTTGTGCTCCCACTGGGCTGCGCTGCGACCCGACAGCCCACTCTCGCACGCAGTTAGTGCGGATGCTGGAGCACCACCGTGTGCATGAGCCGTGACAGGCAGTGGGGCAGTGAAGCCACACCAGCAGGGCCAACCAGCTGAGTGGCCAACAGGAGCCGACACCAAGCCTACCGCACGCCAACAGGGAAGGACTGCGGGCCACCTTCTTTGAGATGGACACACTGGGTGCAGGAGCCCAGGCTGAGATCACTGGCCTGAGAGAGGAGCTGCCCCTGGTTAGTTTTTCTGCACGCTTCTCTCATGCAGGGCCCTAAATAATAGACCCTGAATCTGAATTTCCAAACATTGTTTTAACAACTGAAAAATCCATAAAAATCAGGTAAAAAAAAAAGTCAAGAAATTTGTCCTTTTTTCCAGCTTCTTCAAATATCTAAAAAACAGGCAAGCTCTGAGAAGGCCACGTGCGACGACCTAGTCTTTAGCACAATGGGAACTCCCTTTTAAATAGGTCCCATTAAGGCAGTTTATGTCATATGGATTGTTCTGTGAAATGGGTCTCCCTGGTCTTAAGGTTACTGTTCCCCATGAAAACCTCCAAAGATCCTGTGAGGTCCCTGCCACAGGAGACCCTCTCAGGCTCCGTCCGCCCTGGTTCTTCCACATTCCCTCTCCCCTGCTCTCCGACCTCCTGAATCGACTGTCTGAATCCTTCAGGGAGGCCCTTCTACCACTCAAGCACACACACCACTTGGCTGCACTGTGGGGTTAGACTGTCCGAGTCTCGCCGCTGTCCCGCTCGGACCCTGCTTCCGTGTCGGTTTACAGCATGTGCACATGACTGGCACCGAGGCCTCTCTTTCCCCGAACCTGCCAGTCGCACCCCCGGCAGAACAGTGGTAATGGGGATGGGAGTACTTTGATCTCAGTACTTGCTTCTCATACCAAAAAGAACATGTCAAAATGCTTCTGAGAAACCATCATTTGTTGCTCAGAGCAGTCAAGAGTGTAAATAACCCATAAAAGATGTTTTTACAATGGGAGGGCTATCCCACAGACGGAGTACGGGTACACACGGAGGGAGACGTTTCTGAACTTCTCTCTTTAAAGCTGCTGCAGAGCCCGGAGCAAGAAACCAGAATGTGCCGAGGGTCAAGGAGGTCAAATTTAAACATACTTTCCCAAACTGCAAATATTTTTAGTAGCAATACATTCCATGTGAAAGAGTCTGGCTGCCTGATGTGAGCTGGCAATGAGCCGCCATGGTTTCTCTGGGGACGGCGGTTTCTAGGGCTCAAACTTCAAAGTAGATGAACCGGGGAAAGCTCGGGCTGCTCCTTACAGATGGTAGGACACGTGGCCATCCTGCCTGTGGTCACCCACCAGTACCATCTAGTGAGATGTGTGAAGGGGAAAGCAGGGCTTTACATGGTGTTTCTTTTTTTTTCCCTCACTTCCCCCACATCAACAGACACAGTCATCAAAGTCATCGATCTGGAGGACAAGGACACAGAGCATGTGGGGCTGCTGACTGTTCTCTGGGCCTGCAGTGCTTCCAGGGAAACCTGCTCTCACGCCCTCCACCAGCTAGCATGGAGAGGTCTGATGAAATTTCCGTTCTGGAGCGACAAAGTGTGATTTCACTTCTAAAGTATTTTCATGGAGAGTAAGAAAGGGGTCTAATAGGTTCCTCGTTTCCAGCACTTAGCTAAGATGCAAAAACAAATCTTCAACCCAGACCAGCTTTAGAGTGGAAAAGGGCAATCGGTCCTGAGTGGCTGATAATTGAGCCATCCAAGCTGTGGGCAACAAGCTAGAAACCGCACATCTGCCGGCTTCTGTGGGGCAGGCCTCCTTGCCTCTTTCAACGTGTTCACTCATTCAGAAATGAGAATAATACTGTCTACCCTACCCATTGTTAGGGTGGGAAATAAAGTACATGGAAAAAAACCAGTAAAGCTTTGAAGTAAATGTTAGTTAGCTCCGTACTTTTACCTGATCTTTTACCACCAGGAAAGAAAGGTTTTCTCTAATTTCTGGCATTTCCCTGTGAGCGATGCACTACTGTTCTTCTCTCTGAAACTGCAAACCATTTCTTCTTTTAAATATAAGAAATACTCTTTGCTCAAATAACGTTTTCTTAAAGATTGGACTTCAGGGGCTCCTGGGTGGCTCAGTCGGTTAAGCAGCTGCCTTCAGCTCAGGTCATGATCCCGGGGTCCTGGGATAGAGCCCCGTGGTGGGCTCCCTGCTCAGCAGAGAGCCTGCTTCTCCCTCCCCCTCTGCCTATTTGGGTTCTCTCTCTCTCTCTGTCAAATAAATAAATAAAATCTTTCAAAAAAAAAAAAAAAAGAGTGGACTTTAATCACCTAAGCATCACAAAATCAGCCTGGGTTGATAGGCTACTTAGGTGAATCTGGAAAACATCCAGAGAAAGAGCAGCAAGAAATTGGGAGGGAAAAAAGCCAAGAGGGAAAGAGCTCGTTTTGGCAAGTTCACGGGAATACCAGTTTTGAAACATGATCTCTTATAATTACCCAGCATTGCCTCACCACAAAGGAATGGAACTGACCTTTTAACAAAAAACCCCTCCTGATATCTTTGCAGAAAACAAGTCTGGAGCCTTGAGATGCAGTCATGGATGGCATATCACTAAGTGGCTGACCTGTGGCTAAATGCAAAGCCATAGGGCTATAGCGTACGCCTCTGCTCTTTTCTCTTACAAATGGGCAGAGCAGACTGGATGTCTAGTTCATGAATGCATCAAAACTGCATTTCTCTTCATGTATCTCAAACTGCAGGAAATAATGCCCTTTTGTATGGTGGTGGCACTGCCCATCTCAAAATTATTGTTTAAAAATGTGATTTCTACTAAAATCTTTCTTTAAAAATAGTGACCTCTTTCTATTCCTGGCAAGTCTGCATAGCAACTATTTGATGAACCCTCTTGCAGATAGCAACTATGGACAATGACATAAGAAGCAACCCTGTGACCGAATAGGAGAGCAACCCACCGCAGCTGGACTATGACGCGGGGCTGGCACCGAGGGCGAGGGGCCCTGGATGAGACCCTGTTTTTTAACGGCCATTCACCAGACAACAGACACTAGTCTTATAAAATCTGCCCAAAACCCTAGCTGAACCTGGAACCATGCATACACAGGACAGGCTCCAAGCAGCCCAGCTAAGGCAAAGAGAACTGAATTGAGATGTGGGCTACTGCTCACAGCATGGGGAGAGAATCTGTGATTTGAGACCAGCCAAGTTAATTGCCTACTAAAACAAACCAACCATTCTTCAGAGGAATCTAACTGAATCCAGAGTTTTTGCAATCTATCATTCACAATGTCCAGGACATAATCTAAAATTACTTGATATACAAATGAACATGAAAACGTGATCCATTCTCATGAGGAAAAAAACAACGTAAAGGAGGAGACTCCAAAGATGGCCCAGAAGTTGGAATTAGCAGGCAGGGGCTTGAAAGAGCTATTATATTCAAGGACATAAAGAAAAATCTCTTCATAATTAATGGAAAGATAAGAAATGTTAGCAAAGAAATAAATACTTTAAGAAAGAGCCAAATGAAAATTCAATGATGAA